CCCATTTTTCATCGAGACGACCTCAGATGGATGTTTTGGTGTTTCTGTTGAGTTTGAAATGTTGAATTCGAGGGGTTAACATATTTTGTTTGCATGTACGAGGTTTCTAATGAGTCCCGGGCACCCATCAGAGCTTTTGAACCTTGGCACTTCAGCTGAAGTGCTGTCAGCTGAGGCAAGCCCCGCGTTCGCACGCCTAGGGCTGCATTCGTGGAAGCCTGAGCTTTCGCATGCAGGCGTCGCGTTCGTGGAAAGCAGCCTAGCCCGCGTATTCATGCCAAGGCTGCCATGTTCCCAAGCAGCAGCTCGCATGGAACGCATTGTCATGCATTCGCGAGGGCCAATCAGTCCTCTGGCCTATTTAATCAAGCCAAGGTCATGACCAACCTTAGGCTTGATTAGTATTTTGGCGATTTCTCCCTCTCTTTAGCTCTGATTTTAGTGATTCAAAATCCCACGCATCCGTAATTGTCAAGGGCATATCGTGGGTTGATTGAATTGTGTTGATGAACCTCCGTTAGAGGTGAATTTTGCTTTTAAGTTATTGCATCATTTTTGCTTAAGCTTGAAATTTGGTTTTTTTCCTTGTTTTGATTCTGTTGTTTTAGGCCTCGAATTGTGTTTGATTTTGAACACAAGTTCGAGGTATAGTTAGTACCTTTTGACAAAGTAAACTCTAGAAATTTAGGCACAGATCCCACGATTCCCGTTTGACTCTAAAATTGGTCCATTTCTGTTTTATGTGATTTTGGTGTCTAAACGACCGTATTTACATTGTGATCCTATTTTTGATAGTGTGATAGTATTTAGAGGTTGTAAGTAAAGGAAAAGCTCTTGTTTGGTGATTCAAAGCGCGCGTAGTCAGCATATAGGTAGGCTACGACTTTCTTTTTATTTAGATTGAGCCTGAATGTGTGAATTCATGATGATTAGTGTGAATTGGGGGCGGGTACCTAGTTATTCTTACCTTTTCTTCTTAAATACCATGTTTTAGGGTTGATCGACACTGTTCCAAGGGTAGTACCATGTTAATTAGGGTTATATGTGTGTTATCGCATGCCATGCTATTTACTTGTGTTACTACGCGTGTTTTGAAGCATGTTTGGACTTAGTCTAACATAGACTAGTGATGTCTTAGCCCCGTGAACCTTGTGACTTTGGTATGTCTCTGATGTTGTTTCGGATAGGATAGGTCCTTGTAGACTGAATTAGCAAACTTGGGTCTGATAGCTTGAGCTTAGTTTAGGCGTTTGCGCAACTTTATAAGCCTTCTACTTTTTCTCCCTATCTTTACGACTCTGATGGGCTGCCAAAGAGCACACTTCTTATGATGATTTGATATTGGGTTGTTCTAGGCTTGGAGCCTCATGTGAATGTTTGTGGGTGGACGTTGTTCTACGATGATTTAGTCTCGATATTGGAATCTTCTTCAGAGTCGACTAACTCTTTTATCACTATTGCTAGCTGGGGTGGGAGTCGACTGGACACTATGATTATTTCCAATTCGAGGCTGATGATTATAGTTTGAGGTTGTATCTCTACTTTTAGGCCGGTGTTTATGGTTCGAGGTCGTATTCCCGATTTAAGGCTAATATTTAATGGTTCAAGGTTGTCACCTCTAGTAGAGGCTATAACTTTGGGTTCGAGGCCCAGTGTACAGCTGTTAGATCTGGTTTGAAGGTACTTCTCTCCCTCTTATAGAATTAGCTATTTTGTGTACCTATCGGGATTATGAGGTTCCGTTCGGGTTTTACTTAAACTTGCAAACGAGTGTACCTTCTGCGATTATGGGGGCCCAATTAGGTTTAGTTTAAGTGTACGTACTTAGATTTACTTTCGGTATGTTCATGTGTTGTCTTTTCATAACCGTTTGACCTCTATTTTTGTCTAGATTCTATGTTTTCTGATTGTATTTACCTTTGTTGCTCAGTCAGCCTATGATGCCTACTGAGTACCTTTGGTTTGGTACTTATGTTACACTCTACATTATTTTTGTGATGTAGGTCCTAGCACCAGCTACAAATGGTGATCGATCATGCCATTTTTAGACGAGGGTGAGCACTTGGCATCCTGCATCAACATGTCTCCTTCTGTATATATGTTAGCTAGTCTTTTACCTTTGACACGACTTGTTGTGGTCCAATTTTGAGACTTGTACTTGCTCATATTAAACAGCTATGTACTGGTGACTTCCAAGTTTTGGAGGGTTTCCCATTGTATATAAATTTTGGTTTTCTTGCGTTTCTACCTTTTCTTATTATTACTATTATTTTATGTTTACTTTCACCCTAGCACTCATTACTTGTCATTCTGGGTTATGGGTTGACTTACTTACTGGTGGATTATAATAGGTGCCATTATAGCAGGATTAGTTGTGAGTTTATGCAAAAATCCCCCCTAAGCCGCTAATAATTTTGCAATTACATCTTGGGAAGAAGGAGGGGTGACCTAAGATGAATTCTAACCGATTTCCATAAATTTCATTGATAAAGGTAAGTTAATTGCTTCCCTACTTTGGTATTGTGGTTCTTAGGCCTTAGAATCATTGTTGGGTGACCTTAGGGAGAGTTTGATTTAAATTAATGGTGAAAAGACCCTAGTTTTGGTGGGATGATCATGGGAGTGGCCTGAGGTTTAGGATTTGACTATAATTAAGATATTATTAGGCCATTATTTATTGATTGTTGTGTTTTATCATTGTTTTTAACCAAGAACAAGTTAAGGCCTCACAAAATGGGAAGGCTCAAGTTCAATAGAGCTTCCAAAGCTTGATTTGAGGTACGTGATAGTTATTTGTTTTCGACATTCATGTTATATGTCTTGTCAACTACTTTATTAGTATTGTATGCATGATATATGCTTAGGAGAAAAAGAAGGAACATGATTTGAAATGAAAAAATGTTGTCAATTGTATGCAATGAATGTGTTAAGTTGGATATATATGTGTGATTGTTGTTCATTGTTGATGCGACTGTGTTTTGTGTTTGATGATGAGATCGGGTATATAATATTAATGCAATGGGTATCACACCGAAATACTAACAATGGGAATGGGTACCATGTCGGTACACTAACAGTTGTATGTGTGGGTTCCATGAGATAATCAAATTGTTTTGTTGTATTGTGATGATTCTGTTTATTGTGCATATCATCTCATGGTAAGGACCGGAAGTCCGGGCTATGTTGTACTTGAGTTTATGATCGAATATTATTTGTTTTACTAAGTTATGGTTGTCTGTTCATATCTCAGATAACTGGACATGGTGGTTGTGTATTGATACTACACTTGTTCTTTCTTTGTTGAGTACTTAAGTGACTGTTTTGCGACCTTAACTGAGTTTACTCTATTATCTAAATCCAAGGGTGAGACACTTCTTCCGGGATGCAATAGATTCCTCTTTATTTCCTTAGGCCATTCATTTGGACTCAAACATTTTAGTACTGCGACTTTCAGTTTCTAGGGGGTTACTTCCGCATTGTTGGACGATTATGGTTTCTTTACTACAAACTTGGTTTAATTATTGAAGACTATTTACTTGAAAATCTTTGAAACTGCGTACTTTGATTGCATTTTAGACTTTGTGTGAGTAGTTGGTTGGTTCTCCCACCGAGATTAATGTGGGTGTCACTCACGGTGGGTTAGGATCATGAAAGTTGCCCTCTACCATTAAAAATTAATGTCATATAAATTATAATCAATTGTAATTTATAAATAATCTTTTATTACAAGTTTACAACGCAAGTCTTTTCACAACTAACTTTAACACTTAGAGCATGTTTGGATTGACTTAAAAGTTGGCAAAACCTATTTTAAAGCTCTTTTTAGTTTTTGAAAGTGTTTGACAAATCTAAAAATAGCTTAAAATAAGTTTAAAATGACTTTAAAAAAAGTTAAAAACCAAAAGTAGCACTCCCATACTTTTTTTTTTTTTTACTTAAACGTCATTCAAGCTTGATCAAGTATATTACTTCTCTACCCCTAAATTTTTTTTTTAGATAATTTCAGATTTACCCTTATGAAATAAAACCCTAACAATCAATTCACTTTCCCTCTCCATTTTTTTCCTCAAGCTGCTGCGCCACACTGTTCTCTCTAGCTGGGCATGGTATGGTATGATATGGTATGGTACGGTATTTTAAAACTTGTGTACTGTAATTTCACTACTTGTTTTTTAAAACTACTATACCATTGTCCTACCAATCTAATTCAGTATGATTTAGTATTTTGAAGTTCGATTTTGTTATTTTGCAGTATGGTAATCAGTAACTATAGTTTGTTCAACTTCGACTAATATATACTTGTATAATAGAGAATTATGACTTTGTCAATCAAAAAGAAGGTCTCAATTGTATCATACTCACATTACACATGTAAAAATATATATTCAAAATAAAGTACAAAAAACTTCTTTGTTAATCAATTACATTTCAAATGTCAATTAAAATAGTGTAGTCAAAGTTTCATCTTCTAAATATTTAGTATACACTAATACTAGGTTACTGAATACCCAAAAAAATTAAAATGTATACCATACCAAATACCATACTATCAAAACCACAGTATCAAATTTTTTTTGATATGGTATGGTAATTCGGTATATACCATACCATGCCCACTCCTAGTTCTCTCCAACATTTCTTCCTTGGTTCTCTTCTTTTTCTCAGAAATTTCACGAGGCTATCGGGCATTGGCATTTATTCATTTTTTTTCTTCTTCGATTTTCATCCTCTTCATTTATGCGTTTTTTTCTTCCTCTGTTTTTTTTTCTCTTCCTCGGTTTTCATTCTCTTCATTTATGCATTTTTTACTTCCTCGATTTTCTTATTTTTTTCTTAAATCTTTCATGTGATCTATTCAAATTATATATTTTTAAAATTTAAAATAAATTGTGTATGCGAAATTAACTTAGATATCTTTATTGTTAAATTTTCTGTATTTTTTTTCCTTTAAGAGAAAAACAAATATGCTAAGTATAAGAGACAAAGGATGGTCATTCTTTCAATGATAATTAAACAAAATCAATAAAAATTTGTATACATCAAGATCAAGCTATTATCTCATCTAGCTTACACTCTCTGTACCTAACAGCAGCCTTAAATGATCCAGCCTTATGAATTACATCACAACATTCACATCTATTGATCTGGAAAAAAACAAAAAGAAAAAAAATTAATAAAAACATATCACATTGGATTTTTTATTTTTTATTTTTTTTTGTAATTTTCTCAAAACAAGTAGATGTTGTTACAAATGAAACATAAGCAAACAATAAACACAACAGCCATGGGACCCTACATTTCAAGTAATATCTATTGAATTTTATTTATTCTTTGATGGTTCAAGAGAATTATTTTCTAAGTTCATTTTTTACATGATTGCAATCATGTATGTTTGAATATAATCGAATTTAACTTTTATTACACTGTCAATATAAAGAGTTTTATACTTTCAGTGTAGTTTAACTTGCTCACCTATTATAGAAGGTAACTTGCCTTTATCTCAAAGTTAGTAATCCCATTTTTCTATTGATGATTCTATTGAAGAAAATTTATATAGTCAGTGTACAAAAATTAAACTCATATAAAGTTCATAAGAAATTTAAGTAAAAAGAAATATTACCTGGAGACGTTTTGTTGCTGGTGAGTAGACATGAATTTCATTAACATACTCTGCAGGATAACTTCCAGGATACAAACAAACTCCTATCCCTCGAGGCCATGCTCTGATATATTTTGTAAGAATTTTGTTTTGTGGAGTTTTCTCAATAGACTGGAAGAAATACATATGAGGGGTTTCACAAGGATCCCAAGAAAAATTTCTAGTATCAAAAATATAATGTGGTGGAAGTGTAATGTTACCCCATGGTTTGAATGTTTCAATAGGATTTTGTATCAAACTTCTAGGCATAGTATTCTCATAAATATGAGCTGAATATCCCCATGAAATTGAAAGTGTCCAATTGTTGGATCTTTTGTAGCAAATAGTTTGTTGCAACATTCGCGATTGATCATATTTTGCAGCATTTAGGAGATGATATCCCGATTGTGCACGATCCATAGAGGGAAAAATTGGGTCAACCGTGTCGAAATGGTGAAGGGATATTAATAAAGATTTTGGATGGGATGATAGAAATCCTGATAGATCACCTCGTAGATCAATCTGTACTAAAGAAGAAATTAATTAATTAATAAAGGAAAAATTCTAGATCGAAGATTTATAAAATTCAGAAAAAGTATAGATCTACTTTTATCTATTGATGTGACAACAATTCTTTTTTTTTTTAGCTTTTATTCTACTTTTGAGCATCAAGAGGAAAGAGAGAAACGACCGTTCAATAAAGTTTGAGATCAAATTTATACCTGATGACTACCCATAAGAGGAGAAAGATTGACTCCAATATCAGCTGTGCAACTCATTGTAGTTCTATCAGCAGATCTAAAGTAAGCATATCTCTTTAAACAAGCAATCACATTATTTGCAAATGCTCTAGCCAAAGGATAACTCAATATAATTCCAGCACCACCAAATGCTTGATGAAATGAGAAAAAATAATTAGCCATTATAAATTCCGAGTGTCCTCCAAAATAATAATATTTTGTATGATCATATTGTGAGAGAATATCAACCATATTATCCACAAAAAATATTGAATCATCGTCCCCCATAACTACCCATCGTACCCCTTCATGTGCCTCTCTAACCACCTCCATAATTCCATGTACCATTCTTAAAACTCTTGGATCAACATGATTTGTTTCATTCACGAGTCTTGGTACATCATCGGATACTCGATAAGGAGGTGAATTTAAGGACCATGGTAGAAGATCTTCACCTTGTGGAGGTACATCTAGTAAAAGATGTCCTTTTGTAACATTTGGTCTCCACCATGATTCAATATATGGTTTTCTATGATGCCATGCTTCTTCTGACCCTAAAAGTCCAAAAACAAGGTGACTAATGTTAGTAGGCACACTAATACTGATTTGTACAACATGATTTGATGATGATGATGTATTTGATTGAGAATTATTTGGAAAAGATGTTATGAATTTTGAGGAAGAGAAAAGATGATAAGATGGACACTCATTGAGAAAGATAATTGTAGCCACATATAAGGTTAAACAACAAATTAATACTGTTTTGCAAATGCTAATCACAAGTGATGTTTCAAATGTAGGCATGTTATAGAGAGATTGAATGAAAGAGAACTACATAATGAAGTTAAATCAATGATCATTTGATTTTTATACTCCAATATGAGCTATTTTTTTGTATTCTATTTTCAAGGTTTTAGTATTTGCTATAGTATTTAATATAATCTTCAACATCAAATCCAACTTTTTCATTTTTTTCTATTATATAGTCTAATAGACCTAACAAAAAGAATGAAGATCCTACTTCTTTGTGAACTACATTGTGACTTTGAGATCTCTACATAGGTATTAATTGTTTTACTACACTCCTTTACGGTACTTCTTTATCTACATTTTGACGGTTTCGTTATAATAAAATTAAAAGTTGAATTACTAAAATACCCTTTTAAAGTTGAGCGATTGTAATACCCTTCAATTATACATATATTACCTCCTTTGCAAAACGGTACATTAACTTTCTCTTTATTTATTTTTTTGCTATAGGAAATCTGAAGAATTTCAGGTGTTACTTAATTAATAATTAATGTACTAAGTTCAATTAACTAAAAATTTAATGCAAGAATCATATTCATATACTAAATGTCTTTACATTTGGAGACACTTTTCCCCCTCATTCACTTTTTTTCATTTAATTTTCTCTAAATTAAATATTTACATAAAATTTTATTACTCGCCTTTTTTTTTGACAAACAATGATTCTCATTCAACCAAAATTAATGTTCATTACAAAAATAATAGTTGCTGATAACGAGCTACTATTCCTATATCAATGACTATAACTTTCTATACACATAGAGACACACAACTTACTTGCAAAATAAGCATAAGAATACATTGAACCTAATAACTCATGGATATTCTACCAATTGCACTTTTCTTAAAGTATGTAAGGGTATAGAAACCTCTAAAAAGTACACTTATTAAGAGTGTGTTTGGTCTCGTTCGATTGACTTAAATGTTTTGGAAAATATTTTTCAAATGTAATTATTTTCCTCTAATTTAAGGAAAATGACTCCTTACATAAAGTAAGGAAAATATTTTTCAAATCTTTTCTCAAACCTCCACCACCCCGAATCGGGTCCCCACCTAGGACCCAACTTTTGACCCTGACATGAGATCCAACTGGGGACTTGGAACCTTATTCTCAAATATGACCTAGACCCCAACCCGAGACCCAAAACTAGACTCCCGACTATGACCTCATTAATTGGAATCAACTTCCGACCTCAATTGTGACCCAACTCTCTGCCCCGATCGAAGACATGACTCTTGACCCTGACTCTTTAATTGACCTTTACCCCGACTCTCGAATCCAAACCCTTAACATGACCCCAATTCGTGACTCGAGAATCAGTTCCCAACTATGCCCCGATGGGGACATGACTTCTAGCCTCAACTATGACCCGACTCTCTGTCCCAACCCGAGACCCAACTCCCAACCTCGACTCGAGACTCAAATCCCCAACCCGACCCAATTATTGGCTTGACTCAAGACCCAACACTCGACCCTAACTTCCGACCCCAACTCGGGATTCAACTCTTGATGTTCTACCATAACTTTTAACCTTGAACCCAACCCGACCCAAACCTAGGACCCCAACTCAAGATTCAAGACCTAAATCGTGACTGTGACCTAAGACCCAACTCCTGAATAGGAACTTAATTACTATACCGACTCGAGACCAAATTCCTGACCCTAATTCGATACCTAAATCCTGACATCGACTCAATTCTAAATCCTGACACTCACTCAAGACTCAACTTCAACTTGAGATCCGACTCGAGACCAAATCTCAACCTTGACTACTGACACCGTCTCAGGATCCAAATCTCGACATTGACCTCGACTTGGGACCCAACTGGTGACCTTGACCTAGGATTTGACAATTGATCTTGACCCAAAACCCAGCTCCTTATATGGGACCTCATTACAGACTTGCAACCCCAACTCTTAATCTCGACCATAACCCTGACCCGTAACTCTTGATCTTGATCATCACTCGGGATCCGACACCAACCAAGATCCAAATTTAATCCCTGACTTGGTACGCACTTACTCTCTATAAAAAAATATTTTCCTTCATAGCAAACAACCTTTAAAAAGAGAAACAAAAAAATGAAGAGAAAATGTTTCACGCCTGAGCCTACACCCTGGACATGGCAGGAACTCGAGAATCATTATTGGTCCCCAAGCAAACCCTTGGCCTGGCTGACTACTTAGAGAAAGACTTACTCAAGCGATGATAGGCTTAAAACAAAATTTAGAATATTTAAACTCAAAGTAAATACTCAATTCAAACTGTCTGTAAATTACTCAACGACATAAGTATAATAGTTTGCAAAAACATCCCAAGGGAAAAGTAAATATTGAGAGAATAACTCTATCTATCTATGAAGCTTGTGTTACTCAATATGGATGTCGGGATAAGACCCACGACATCTCAAGAAAACTGACTGGAAAATAAATGTGAAGTCCACCCGAATACAATGAGGCTCACTTAAGCTATCTGAAGTATAAAGTGACCTCAACGAAGCACATGTTGATGATCTTGAACACCTGTATTTGCATCATAAAAAGATACAGGGCGAATGACATCAGTACATTGAATGTACAAGTATGTAATATAGCCGAAGCGAAATAACTGAATGACAGGACTGCAATAGATAAAATATACTCAAGTTGAATGTAAGGAAATAAATGAGTTAAATCATTTAAAGTTTTACAAAATACTTACTCATCTCTGAACTCAATATAATAAGTGTTATATGAAAATACGCTTTAGCTCTATTGGGAGATTCGTTAACCGATAATCATCACTATGAGTTACACGATGATACCACGTCTTGTCCATGCTACCGAAACTGTTCTATATCGTGCAGGGATGTAGAACCTCTCAACTAAGTGGATCCACTAAGCAATAAAGATTCATCTAAAAAGTATGATCTTGTACCCATGTTGGCAAGACATGGTTTATGAGCACTTTTTAATTTTCTGAACTCATCCACATATCGGTGCTCAATACTAATCTCAATAATAAATATACTCATGCTCAAATGTATAAAACATACTCTTTCTCTTATTTGAGATAATTGATCAAACTATCCTCTTAAAAGAGGTAACTGCTCTGAAATATCTCTGAACTCATAAACTCATTTAGAAATCAAAGTTTCTTTTTTTTCAATGTAACAAAATAATGCATTTGAGACTACTTGGTTCCCTTAAACCTTACTAAAAAATTCTCTTAAAACTTTCCTCGAACTCTGGTTTACTTTCTCAGAAAAAAAAGTTTAAAACAAATATTTATTGTGATCTGATCATGGATGACTCGGGAAGTCATAATGCATAAATATTGATGGCATATTTAGATGTCATACTGCTTACACATTAATAGAATACTCGATTGTCGTACTAATCATGAATCATGGTTCTCTTCTCAATGTAAAAATATTGCTTTTGGAACCATTTGTGTTCCCTTAAACTCTTCTCAAAAGATACTTTAAAATACTCTTGCTCAAATCTTGGTTAAAACTCTTTCTCAAAACTCATCTTTGTTTTCTTAGGAAATCAGTTTTAAGACAAAAATGCTTGTTTTAAAAGATTCTCAAAAATTATGACTCACAATAGGGTTCATGCTGAAATATTGACATGAACGAATCAACTCAAATATCTCAATGTATAGTAATACGTATAACAACTTATGACCAAGGATTTAGAACTCAGAATCAATAACATAACTCATATCAAGAATACTCAAATCTAAGGATAGAGCCCTAGATTACTCTTTTATTGATTTGAAATTAGATGTAGGGCGTGAGAACGAACTAATTCAACACTATGATAGCCTTACATACCTAGAAGAACGAAGTTCTTTGGCAAAATCGACAAAACTCGAAGAACGCTTGAACCCTAGCTTTTCTCCACTTGGAATCTTGGTCTAATGACTTGAAGTGTTAATGAACGTAAAAGAACTGATTAACACTTTCTAAGCCCTTAATTAGATGTAAAACGTTGTGGTTTAGGCATAGAATAGGAATTAAAACGATGTAGTTTAAGTACCAAATGCATATGAGAAAGACCAAAATGACCCCAACTTAAAAACTATCGAGGTGCGTTAAAAGGGAGGTTTCATAGACCGTTTAAGGCTCCATGGTCCGTGAAACACTTCACGGGCCGTATAGGTGTTTGTGAACCTTTGTCTATTTGACAGGGCCTTATTAAAATGGGCATAACTTTTTAGTCCAAACTTTAAATGAGGCAAACTTGATGGTGTTGGAAAGAGGACTCAAAGACCCTTAATTCGATAGGTCATTGACCACCTAATTTATTATGTGCTGAGAGATATGATTGTTTGAAGTTGACCCAAAACATAAAAGTTGATGGGTGACTTGTACGGACCCCTGGACCGTACATTCCACCACAGGCCGTCTAGGGTCCCTTCCAGGTGACCCCTACCTTGGCAGCCCTGGACGGTTGGCCACCTTGCTCTAAACGGGTTATGGACCTCTAAATGGATCGTTTAGGGTTCCATAAAGGGTCCATGGTACATTTTGGGTTCGTGGACCTGCCTGTTAGACCTCTTTAGACTTTCTCAAAGTTCAAGGTGTTACACGAACGATTCAAATTTTAAGAGTACAGTTGCGAGATGTTATAAAATGATTCGAGTTCTTAGCTTAAAAATTTTGGGGTGTTACAAAATGCCTATATTTGGGAGTATTTATTTCTTTACATAATAAGAAATAATAGATAATATGAATATACATATTATCCGTTGGTTTACTTTGTTTCTTTACATATAAGATATGGTCGGGTCAAATAATTTATCTATTTTCACTGAGTCATATTTAACCCACTCATATCTGACTTGACCCACATATTTGCCTACCCTATAGGTGTCTCTCTGTATATTTTGCTAGAAGATCCACCCGAACCTTAACTCTAGCACAATTAGGCCGAGTTTTGTTTATTGTGGTTGAATCCAAGTGTAGAGGCTTCCCTACCGCAAAAGTAAGAATAAATAGGAATTATTTCACAAAATAGGTAGCCAGTAAATTGGGAAAGGATATCCAAATCATTGCTAAGTTGTTTCCTTATCTACTTTGAATTTCGCATCATAAATCAATGGTCTCATCTGATAAATGAAACCATCATTGGCTTTGATAAAATAAGCATTGTTTGATAGCATATTAATTAATCCTCTGGTAACACAAAACTCATCAGAATATGTATGTTCCACAAAAGACCTATTTGTGACTCTCTTTCGATACCACATTGTTTCGAAATTTGTTTGCAAAGATCTTCAAGTTCGAGCCAATCATATAAAACTTTACGAATTACTGCATACTATAAATTCAATGGTAATCCATTATTCAAAATTTTCTTATTTATTGTAGCTAATTTTTATGTCAATCTATCTTTCAATAACTTTGAAAATTCAACTTAAAATAATGGAATTAATGTTATCAACATAAATACAAAATGATGGTATGCATCTATCAGTCAAAATTGATGGACCCTAAGAGAATAGTAATAACTATCTAAACCCAAAAAAAGAAAAAAAAATTATAATATTCCACTAAGCAATTATTTCATCCACACGACATTCCCTGAGTTTAATCTTTGCCTTGTTGGTGCCCTTTTTGTGTATCACGTCACAACATTCACATCTATCCATCTGAAAGTAAAAATTGAAAAAAGAAAAAACAATAGTAATTTGTTATATATGAGACTTGTTATAGATATAAAATAGTAATATATATATATATATATATATATATGTGTGTGTGTGTGTGTGTGTGTGTGTTTTGCAAACAAATTTGAAACATCTTATATAGTCCTTTTTCTTAACAATTGTTTTTTGTGTTCCTTAATTTTTAAAAGTGCTATTTTGAACACTTTTTCTTCCTAAAGTAACTTATTCTATGATTTAGGAGATATTACAAATAAAATAAAGGAGAATATTTAGACCTTACCTCTATTCTTTTCCTTCTTGGAGAGTAGACTTCAATCTTGGAGATATAATCAGCAGAATGGTTACCACTATATGAACAAGACAACAATTTTCGAGGTGATGATCGCGAATATGTAGTAAGGATTTCATATCTCTTCGTTTTTTCTACATTTTTCATGAAGAAAACATGAGGAGCTTCACAAGAATCATTTGTACGCCACCTTGTATTTAACATGTAATATGGAGGGTCTTTAGGTGTAACTCCCCAAGGTTGAAAGGTTTCAATTGGTAATTGTAAATGGCTTCTAGGCAAAATGTTCTCATAAATATGAACTGAGTAACCCCATGAAATAGAAAATGACCAATTGCTAGGCCTGTTGTAGCAAATAACTTGTTGTAACATGCGCGATTGATCTAGATTTGCTGCCTTCATAAGGTGGCGGACAGATTGTCGTCTCTCTATTGAAGGGAAGATAGATTCTGTAGCATCTAGATGGTGAAGTGACATCAATGGAGCTTTTGGATGAGACGATAATAAACCAGATATATCACCGCGCAAATCTATCTACAAGTAGTGACAAATGCAAAGATCAAGAGTTAGTAAATTCAGAGCGAATGATAGCTTATTCTATAAAATAAAATCACAAGCACACGTGTTCAAATAAAAATTAGTGAGAGTACATCTACACCAACTAAGGCTATTGAACAATTTGGCCATAAATAATATTTTAGCATTTGTGGTTACTTATTAATTTTGTCATCAATAAGTTACAATACGAACTTTAGAGTTTAAGACAGAAATGAAAACATACCTGATGACTACCTTTAAGAGGAGTAAGAATGACTCCAACGTCAGATATGCAAACCATAGTTATTTGATCAGCGGATCTTAAGAAAGGGTATCTCCTCAAGCAACTTTCTATATACTTAGACATAGCTTTTGCCAAAGGGTAACTCAAAATAAATCCAGCTCCACCAAATGCTTGATTAAATGAGTACCAATGATTTGACATTATAAACTCTGATTGACCCCCCAAATAGTAATACTTTGTGTGATCATATCTCGCAAGAACATCAACCATATTATCAACAAAAAATATTGAATCATCATCTCCCATAACCACCCATCTCACTCCTTCATGGTCTTCCCTAAAGACCTCCATTATCCCATGCACCATTCGTGCCATAGTTGGTGCTACATGTTTAGTTTCTTCAATTAATTGAGTTATGTTATCGGATACCCTATAAGGTGGGGAAGATGAGGACCATGGCAAAAGATCATCGCCTCTTGGAGCCACATCAAGAAAGAGATAACCGCGTGTTTTATTAGGTCTCCACCATGATTCAATGTATTCTTTCCTAAAGTGCCATGCTTCTTCTGAGCCAAGAAGTCCAAAAAGAAGATGATTAAGGTTTGTTGGACTAGAATCATGACCAAATTGTGGGGTTGTAAATCTTGATGAGTAATGTAAGAGCTCAAAAGATGAACAATTGGGATCTTTGAATAGGAAAATTGAAGCTAAGTAAAGAAAAACACATGAAACCAACACCACTCTGCAAAGACAAAAAACAAACAACTTGTCAAATGAAAATTCTAATTAGCTCTTCTTTGATTGTATTTAAGTAATTGGAAGCATTTCTTGGTTTGTTTGAGCAAAAGGAAAGTTTTAGTATGTCCTTATTATGATCAATTACTTATATTTGTCTTTTAAATGACTTAATAGTTAGTATTAAAAAAAAAATCTATAAATTAAATTCATTCAAGAGAAATCTTTTCAAGTATTGTTGTGTGTTTGGTCATAGTTATGAATTTAATTATACGCTTACAATATAAATTTTTTTATATATTCACATTGTATTTCAACATCTTATACCAATTTAGTCATTATTTTAATTTGAATTACTAGCCAATTTTATATAAGTAACCTGCTTGTATAAATATTTTTTATAACGTTGATGCATAAAACTTTAGACTCACAGACTAAAGCTTCATGAATATCCAATCCTCAAGTTATGGCTAATTTTCAATTACAATAAGACAGCCAAGTGCACAAAGCATTATGCATGATTTCGAAAAGAGTCACTCTAAGGGGTGTGATATAGACACCCTACCCTAATGTATACATTAGTGGTTGTTTCCACAGCTTGAACTCGTAACACATAGATCATACGGAAACAACTTTACCGTTTCTTCATGGCTCCCCTTCTAGTTTCCAATAATAGTCTTTGTTAGAATTAAGCAAACAAAAGAAAATGATCATGATGAAACTTTAGAAATAAAGTGATAGAAAGAGAGGGAGTAACCAGACAGGGGAAGAAGTGATATAGTGGAGGCAAATAATTTCAATCCATTGTTGTTCAAAGCCATGATCATTCCATTTCTTTTCAACTTTAAATCAAGAAGAAATCAAACAAAGAAAGGAGAGGAAAAAAAATTCAATTTTGCTGATTTTGGAAGAAAAAGAAGGTACAAAATTATTACCTTAGTCAAGAGTTTGTTATAAATTTCCCTAGTAATTGTGTGGTTAGCACTAGAGGCGGATCTAAAATGTTAAGACAATAGAACTTTTGGTCAATTAATTATTGGTCAAATATTAGTTCTTGTCATATAACTTTAAATTAATTAAAATAGTGTATTTTTTGTATGTTACCGTGCATGCGCGTAAATATGTTATATCAAGTTATTTTTTATAACTAGTTTTAAGGTACATGCTTTACGAGTGTATCTTATTTTATCGTAGAATATTAGAAGGCTATGAAGTGGGACATGAAATCGATCCAGAAAAAATTAATGTTTTGGATGCTATGAATTTGGCAATCGCAACTTCGACGACAAAATTTTCAGCAAAAGACAATAACAAACTATTTTCGACACTACAAAATATATTTGGAGGATGAAATCTCAAAGAATTTGAATGAACTCACCCACTTGTGAAAATGTCATTAATGAACTTGAGGTCATGATTAATGATCTCAATTAGCGCAATAAAATGGACATCAATAACCTATTGAATTATCCAAGTGAAAATGATATATATTCAGTGGTCCAGAGCTTAAAAGAAATTGTGGATACCATAAAAAACAATGTATGAAATTGTAGATGATAGAATACATTTAGAACCAATTATGCGTAAAGAAACACTTATCGTATCAAGAACTCTTCACAATATTATGGTGTAGTTCGAAAAGACAACACCGAAACTTTTGGATCAATAAGAAAAGTTAAAGATGAACTTCAACTAGATTTAAAGTTTAACAAAAAAAAAAACTCAATAGAATCACATTTCACCAAAACATCTTAGATATATTTGTATTTTTAAAAAAATATTAATTTATAATATTAATGGAACCATATATTTATATAGTGGTCTTCTGAAAATATATTATCTTATTATCTTATCGAAATAAGTGATTTTTCCATTGGCCCAAGTCGAGACCGGAAGAAAATATTATCTTAGAGAGATTATGAATGAGCACCTTTCACATATAATAAACATAAAAATCATATTTGTATGTTATAGCTATAGTTTGCATAATTGTGCTCCATAGCAAACATAAATATATATATTTTGCTATACATATACAAAGAAAGCAGTTGTATAATTCGCTATACATATACAAAAGAAAGCAGTGTATAATCTGTTTCGGTATACATATACAAAAGATCAATTGTATGATATGTGTTTGTATAAAGCGAGAAAGAGAGAAAGATAAAAGAAAACTGGGCTTGGGAATATTGTATTTGTATAATCATAAGTGTATAGGACGAAAATATATGCATTTGTATCTGTATATACAATTTTCTCTCTGTCACGACCCGATTTCTCAAGTCATGATGGCACCTACTATAACCCACCAGCAGGTAAGCCAACCCATAACCCGAAACAACAAATAATGGGTCTGAGGGTAGAAACTAAACAAGAGTAAGCAAATAACAATATAAACAAGCGGAAGCAAACCAAAAACAAATATACAAATAAAGATCCCTCTCAGAACCTGGAAGTCACTAGTACAGAGCTACTAACAAAATGAGCACAAGTCCCAAAAGTGGACAACAGACTGGACTATCTCGAAAGGAAAAAGACAAGTCTATATATACATATGGAGACTGAAATAGTACAAAACGCTGCGTGCTCATCCCCGTCTCCGGATCAAACTGCTCCAAGCTCGATCAATGTTGGCTGCTAGTGCCCGGACATGCATCACGAAACAGATGCAGAGCGTAGCATGAGTACCAAAACAACAGGTACCCAGTAGGCATCATAGGCCGACTGAACTCGAAAAGTAAAGGCAGTATGAAAAGAAGGAATACACAAATCGAGGTCAAGAACAAAAATCTAACTAACAAAGGAATGCACACGAGTGTACAAAGAACTAACTAAAGTAATCTATAAGCTAACTATACCTAACTAGACTCCCATAAGCCCAGAAGGTACACTCGTGCGCAAGTTAAATAAAAACCCAAACGGACCCCCATAAGCCCGACTAGTACACAGAATAACTATAACTAAAGAGAATTGCATATAAGAACCCAAGAACGAAGAACATCGAACCAGAACCTCAACCCTAATTAGTAGAATCTGACAGTACGGAGGCCGGACCTCGAACCGGATGCTCACAAGAAGTACCCAAGTAACCAATCACAAGTAACAAGTATAAGAGGCCAGAACTCTAACCGGATTCTCTATATAAGTAATTGGGCAATAGAGGCCGGAACTCTAACCGGATGCTCTATATAAGTATCTGGGCAATAGAGGCCGGAACTCTAACCGGATGCTCTATATAAGTATTTGGGCAATAGAGGCCAGAACTCTAACCGGATGCTCTATATAAGTATCTGGGCAATAGAGGCCAGAACTCTAACCCGATGCTCTATATAAGTATTTGGGCAATAGAGGCCGGAACTCTAATCAGATGCTCTATAAAGGTGCCACTGTAGCTGCTGAAAGAGTCCCAATCGATCTATTCTCATAAATGTCCGTGGATCGCTGTCCACACCTAGCCAATCAATGAAAGTCCTTGGAATCGAATCGAAAATCAAATTCAAATCGCGAAGCAGAACTAGTGTCACCGACGTAACTCTTGAAGCTGTAACATCAGGGAAATAAGGATAATTATCATCGAAGCAAACGTATCGTCTAGCTAAGGCCCAAACTATCAGGCTCAAGTCTGCTACACCAGTCTACAGGGATTTAAGTCGGCCGAGCGACGTCGGGACAAAACTAAGGTCTATCGGATCCGAATTATGTATTTCTAAGGCAAGCCCTAGTCAAACCTAAACTAAGGCCCAAATGCTTCAACAAATAGTAAATTAAGCATGCAAGCACTCCACATAGCGAGGAGGGTCAATTAATAACATGCTCACAGTTACCCGATAATTCTCGAAATAGGCCGAAAACATGATTTCCAAACACCTATGCTTGATTCAATCACTACCAACCCAAATCCCAACTAATCAACATGCATTCACACTCTCAAGCTCAATCTAAGAGAGGGAAACCGTAGCCTACCTGTAAGTCGATCATACGCGCTCTAAAATCACTTCTCCGGAACTTTCTCTTTCCGAACTTCCTCGAAACGCTGCCCCGCTATCAAAAATAAAGTCACAACGTTATTACAGTCATTTAGACACCAAAATCACAATAAACGGAGACGGACCAATTTCGGGGTCAAAATGGAGAAAGTGGAACCCGCGCAGGAAATTCCGAAATTAACCCCAAAAGTGGGTCCTAACCAGTTCCCCCAGCTCATGTCCCAAAATAGGACACAATTCGGGGCTCGGGAACAACACAATATCAACATGCAACTAAAACCCAAATTTTCTCAAAAACTAGAAATGGGACAGCAGTTGAATCAGTGTATTTACCAGAAACTGGAGGTCTATAGTGAAATGTGACAACACCACGATGTTCTCCTCGAAAAACCACACAAGATAGCCTCAAAAATCACTGAAATCGAACCTAGAATGGCTGAGAAAACAAGTCTCAAAATCTTCCAAAATCAAGCTCACAAAAGGGTCGTGGCAGCAGGTGTTTTACGAAAATTACCTCAAACAGGGACCCCAAATCACTATCCGAGCTCACCAACGCGTTGTCCTCGAAAAATCTCACAACTTTGCCTTTTGAATCGCCCAAATCGGTTGAGAGTTGAGAGAGTTATGAGGATTTGAAGTTTGGGAAATGTTGCTCATTTTCTGCATTTATAGCAGATTTTCTGCAATTTTCCAAAACTAAAAACTCCGACGGGGTGCTCCGAACTCGTTCGGAACCCCGTGCACGCAAACGAGATATGCAACCATACCAAATTCGACATTCTGGACCCAAAGGCGCAGTCAAAATTTCCATCAAAGGTCATCTCAATAAAAAGTGGGTCCCACTTCCAAATGCCCTTTTAAGTCAAAAACTACAAAAGAGCTCCGAAAAATATCAAAAATCTCGAGACACAAAAGAAAGGTTAATCTAGACAAAACTTGACATTCTGGAGCTAACCGCGCTGACGGAATTTTCATCTGAGCGCGTTTTCCAAGAATGTTGACCAAAGTCAACTTTAAGCCAAATTTCAAAGGCTAAAACGCGTAATCGCACCGACTCACACTGAAAACCTCGAGAGTCATGCCGACCATGCTACAAGCCTAAAATGACCCTTCCGGAGCTGATGGAATCATCAGAATTGGATTCCGATGTCATCTTCTCAAACTTTTGATCGAAAATGTTCGTTCAAGGTTCATAAGCTCCAAAACACTAAAACTCACACCATAACCAAATGAATGACCAGGTGACCGAACTGTCAGTCCCAGCAAGTCATAAATGACTTGGGGTCGCTACAGGAACGCTCTAAACGACACACAGAATGCAAGACACAAAAATGACCAGGAGGGTCATTACACTCTCGCTTTATACAAACACAAATGCAATATATACATTTGTATTTGTATAAAGTGAGAGTGGCGAGCGAGATCTGGGAGAGGGGAGAGAGGGGAACGAAAATATATGTATATATACAATTTTCTCTAGCTTTATACAAACACAAACACATTTTATACATTTGTGTTTGTATAAAAGTGAGAGAGGCGAGCGAGACTGCCACCAAAACGAGAGTGGCGAGCGAGATTCCACTAGGGAGAGAGGCGAAAATATCATTAATTTGCTATAGGGTACAATTACATCAAACTATGTTTATAGCATTTAATTTGAATTAATAGTTTGCTATTATATACAATTTTCCCATTATTAATTTGCCGAGTATTAATTTAGTGAGGTTTTACTGTACTATGTAATTTTATATATAGAGGTAGGTAGGCGATTGTAGTATCCTTTATTACGTAACTGTCTATTTTATTAACTAATTTACATACACATTATAATTCATATATTTACCTTTTTCATTTCCGTTTTATTTTTTTTGTTTTTTTATTATTA